TAGAGGTATATGGAATTCTATGGGTATTTGCCCCTATTTTTATTCTTGTATTAGGAATCACAATAAGTGTACTAGCAATTGTATGGTTAGAAAGAGAAATATCCGCAGGGATACAACAGCGTATTGGACCTGAATATGCTGGTCCTTTTGGAGTTCTTCAAGCTCTAGCAGACGGAACAAAACTACTTTTCAAGGAGAATCTTATTCCATCTAGAGGAGATATTAATTTATTCAGTATCGGACCATTCATATCAGTCATATCAATTATAATAAGCTATTCAGTAATTCCTTTTAATTATAACTTTGTTTTATCTGACCTCAATATCGGTGTTTTTTTATGGATTGCTATTTCAAGTATTGCTCCCATTGGACTTCTTATGTCAGGATATGGGTCAAATAATAAATATTCCTTTTTGGGTGGTCTACGAGCTGCTGCTCAATCGATTAGTTATGAAATACCATTAACTCTATGTGTGTTATCAATATCTCTACGTGCGATTCGTTGAGACAGAAGCTTTTCGATACTATTGCTATACTCCCCCCTTTCTTTATAGTGCTTTCTAGTAAAGAAGGATAATAAATTGAATATATATCCTTATCATTATTCTTTTTCGAAATTCGGATTGAAGAATTTAATCAGATAGTTATATGAGTGAAATAAAACAGCTTCTATTGAATAGAATTTATTAATTCTATATATATACTATATTACTTATAGTTATATATTACTTATAGTTAATAGATAGTATGAGGAGTTAAAATTGCAGTCAAAATATTGAGTCTCATTTTCCATGTATAAGAATTAAGTGAAAAAAAAAATTCTATTCTATTTCTTCAGTAGAAGAGGTCATTTACCCCCAAGGTTGGTTGATTAGTCATCCTGTCTTGAAGCGGGCACAAAAGAAAAACCAACCTTTTTTTTGAGTTTTCACTATCATTTGTATGAATTATCATACATGTATTAACATAACTAAAGGGGTTTAATAAAAAAATGAATGGATGGGTAGAAACACCAAAATACACAAAGGATTAGTAACGCAAATTTTTTTAAATATCCAAAAGAGCATTTATACATAATAGAAAAAGAATACTAATTGGGGCTTTAAGTTGGTAGAAAAAATCAGGCAGTACTCCCTACAATTCCGATCCAGAGTATGCTCCCATCCACTGATTAAATAAATGACTATCAGGAACGAAATAATCCTTTACTTTTGTTTTCATTAATTCACTTTTTTTTTTGAGTCCCTTTTTAGTTGCACAAAAAAAGGCTAGGAGCGAAAGAAAAAGTGATACCCTTTTTCTTTTTTTTTCTTACATCTATATTCTAGGAAGATGGAATTCATGTCATAATTCAGAAAACGAATGTATAATTCTTTTTTGTAATCGAAAATGATGGAGAAGTTATTGAGAATTCTATAAAGAGTATTTTATTGAAGAATTCAGTTATTACTCAACAAATTCCAATTTTTTTTTAAAGGGATAAGATCAATTCAGAAGTACTTTTTGTATCTTTTATTTATTCAAATAAAATTTGAAATGTATTTTTCTTTATTATTAATTTTTTCATTAAATAAAACAAAACAGACAGAATTCAATTGGTCTAATTCAGAACCGTCCGATAAAATCGAATCTTATCCATTTTATAAATATATCAAGAGATAAATAATCGGTCTGGTCCTTAGATTTATTGAAGGCTTAAAAGGAGCCGTATGAGGTGAAAAATCTCATGTACGGTTCTGTAATAGAGATGGGAACAGTAATGTTATCACCGACTAGGATTATCTAACAGCTTAAGTACAGTTGATATAGTTGAAGCGCAATCCAAATATGGTTTTTGGGGATGGAATTTGTGGCGTCAACCTATGGGTTTCATCGTTTTTCTAATTTCTTCTTTAGCAGAATGTGAAAGATTACCTTTTGATTTACCAGAAGCGGAAGAAGAATTAATAGCGGGTTATCAAACCGAATATTCGGGTATCAAATTTGGCTTATTTTACATTGCTTCCTATTTAAACCTATTAATTTCTTCCTTGTTTGTAACAGTTCTTTACTTTGGTGGTCCGAATATCTCTATTCCGTACATATTTGTTTCTGAATTTTTTGAAATAAATAAAGCATATGGAGTTTTTGTAACAACAATTGGTATCTTTATTACACTAGCTAAAACTTATTTGTTCTTATTCGTTTCTATCACAACAAGATGGACTTTACCTAGGCTAAGAATAGATCAATTATTAAATTTTGGATGGAAGTTTCTTTTACCCATTTCTCTCGGTAATCTATTATTAACAACTTCGTCTCAATTGTTTTCACTATAAAAAACGGACCTTCTATATTCATAACTTGTCTCAAACAAGAGAAAGAAAAAAAACAAAAATAATCAGAGATATTCACGATATGTTCCTTATGATAACTGGATTTATGAATTATGGTCAACAAACAGTCCGAGCTGCAAGGTACATTGGTCAAAGTTTCACGATTACCTTATCTCACGCAAATCGTTTACCTGTAACTATTCAATATCCTTATGAAAAAATAATCACATCGGAACGTTTCCGTGGTCGAATACATTTCGAATTTGATAAATGCATTGCTTGTGAAGTATGTGTTCGTGTATGTCCCATAGATCTACCCGTTGTTGATTGGAAACTGGAAACTGATATTCGAAAGAAACGATTGCTTAATTACAGTATTGATTTCGGAATCTGTATATTTTGTGGTAACTGTATTGAGTATTGTCCAACAAATTGTTTATCAATGACTGAAGAATATGAACTTTCGACTTATGATCGTCACGAATTGAATTATAATCAAATTGCTTTGGGCCGTTTACCAGTGTCAGTAATTGATGATTATACAATTCGAACAATTCAAATAAAATTAAGTTAATTATAATATAATTATAAAATCTTTTTCTAAAAATAAAGATTATATAAATCAAATCATATTCGATATATTTCTATATATAAATATATGTATTTGAATAATATATATGAATAATATAAATTTGGATAATAAGAAAAATGTTATTAAAAAAAAAGAATAAATCTTAGAGGTAGATATTTTTATATTAGATATTCTATTAGTAGAAATATTCGATACATATATTATATATATACTTTAGTTTTCGTATAGTTTCAAACTACTCTTTCATAGAAAGAATGGAATGACATTGATCCTATAACTGTACCTATAGCAATTCACACTTATTATCTTAGGATTTGATTGAATTCAATGCGGAGAGAAATTTAGTATTTAGTATATAATTTTTTTCCTGGTCATATCAATAAAGTCATGAAATTTCGATTTATTTATCTCTTATTTTACATATAATGGATTTGCCTGAACCGATACATGATTTTCTTTTAGTCTTTCTGGGATCGGGTCTTATATTAGGAAGTCTAGGAGTAATATTACTTACCAACCCAATTTTTTCTGCTTTTTCGTTGGGACTGGTTCTTGTTTGTATATCTTTAGTCTATATTTTATCAAACTCCCATTTTGTAGCTGCATCGCAGCTACTTATTTACGTGGGCGCTATAAATGTTTTAATCATATTTGCTGTAATGTTCATGAATAGGTCAGAATATTACCAAGATTTTCGTCTTTGGACCATTGGGGATGGAATTACTTTGATGGTTTGTACAAGTATTTTTGTTTCACTAATAACTACTATTCCAGATACATCATGGTACGGGATTATTTGGACTGTGAGACCAAATCAGATTATAGAACAAGATTTTATAAGTACTAGTCAACAAATTGGAATTCATTTATCAACAGATTTTTTTCTTCCATTTGAACTCATTTCCATAATTCTTTTAGCTGCTTTGATAGGTGCAATTGTTGTGGCTCGCCAATAAGAACTTATTCTAACTAATAATCTAAATCTGAATTCTATTTTGTTTAATTTTCTCCCAGTTATTTCCGTTGAATTCTTGTTCATATTGATGAAATGAATCAAAATTGGTAAGGAGTTGGTCAATGATGTTCGAGCATGTACTTATTTTGAGTGCCTATTTATTTTCTATGGGTATCTATGGATTAATCACGAGTCGAAATATGGTTAGAGCCCTTATGTGTCTTGAACTTATACTGAATGCAGTTAATATAAATTTCGTAACCTTTTCTGATTTTTTTGATAGTCGCCAATTAAAAGGAAATATTTTTTCAATTTTTGTTATAGCTGTTGCAGCCGCTGAAGCAGCTATCGGACCTGCTATTGTTTCCTCAATTTATCGTAACAAAAAATCAACCCGTATGAATCAATTGAATTTGTTGAATAAATAGTATTGATTATAATAAATCATAAAAAGTAGAATTTAGAATGAATAGTGTAATATTTATCAATTCAAATTAGCATGTATGATACGCAACTTAGAATCATGTTTGTGAAAATAAATAAAAGAAATCAAAGTATTTTGGTCCTATTCTCTTCTTATGAATTGATCTATAAGTCTATTTTTATTAGCAAAATTCTGATAAATCATTGATTCATCTGGTGTCTAAATATAGAATTCATTTACGAGTTTACTAGATCGAAAATTTTCAATTTTTGATGTTCAAAGATTTCTATAGATTCAATGTCACATTCAGTAAAGATTTATGATACATGTATAGGATGTACTCAATGTGTTCGAGCCTGCCCCACAGATGTATTAGAAATGATACCTTGGGACGGATGTAAAGCTAAGCAAATTGCTTCTGCCCCAAGAACAGAGGACTGTGTTGGTTGTAAGAGGTGTGAATCCGCCTGTCCGACGGATTTCTTAAGTGTTCGAGTTTATTTATGGCATGAGACAACTCGAAGCATGGGTCTAGCTTATTGATACGTTTCAAAAAACACCACACAAATACGTTTTTTTTTACTGACAAAAACCCGCGCTCAAAATAGAAAAAAAATTGCTTTTCTATTTTGAGCGCGGGTTTTTCTGGTCTAAGTATATCTTATTTTTATCACGAATTATTTTCCTTGGTTAACAATAATTGTAGTTTTGCCAATAGCTGGAGGTTCCTTAATTTTCTTATTTCCTCATAAAGGAAATAAGGTGATTAGGTGGTATACTATTTGTATATGCTTAATGGATCTCCTTCTAACAACCTATGCATTTTGTTATCATTTAGAATTGGATGATCCACTAATTCAATTGACAGAGAATTATAAATGGATCCATTTTTTTGACTTTTACTGGAGATTCGGAATAGATGGACTCTCTTTAGGACCCATTTTATTGACAGGATTTATCACCACTTTAGCTACGTTAGCAGCTCAGCCGGTTACTCGAGAATCACCATTTTTTTATTTCCTGATGTTAGCAATGTATAGTGGTCAAATAGGATCATTTTCTTCTCGAGACATTTTACTTTTTTTCATCATGTGGGAATTAGAATTAATTCCCGTTTATCTACTTTTATCTATGTGGGGGGGTAAGAAACGTTTGTATTCAGCTACAAAGTTTATTTTGTACACTGCAGGAAGTTCCATTTTTTTATTAATGGGAATTCTGGCTATGGGTTTATATGGTTCTAATGAACCAACATTAAATTTTGAATCATTAACTAATCAATCGTATCCCATGGCGCTGGAAATAATTTTCTATATGGGATTTTTTATTGCTTTTACTGTCAAATCGCCAATTATACCTTTCCATACATGGTTACCAGACACCCACGGGGAGGCACATTACAGCACTTGTATGCTTTTAGCCGGAATCTTATTAAAAATGGGAGCATATGGATTGGTTCGAATTAATATGGAATTATTATCCCGCGCTCATTCTATATTTTGCCCCTGGTTAATGCTATTAGGTTCAATTCAAATAATCTATGCAGCTTCAACATCTCTTGGTCAACGTAATTTAAAAAAAAGAATAGCTTATTCCTCAGTATCTCATATGGGTTTCTTAATTATAGGAATTAGTTCTATAAGCG